CACTTTATGAACACTGTCTGAAAACTTACATGTGCTTGAAAGATTTTACTAAGCTGTGACTGAAAACCTCTGAAAATGTGACACAGCAGGATGTTTTCTCAGAAAGCTGTCACTTGACAGACCAATGGCCCTAAACCCAATCTTAGTGAGCCAGCCACCAAAAAGTACCGAACTGAACTGTGATAGCACTTTGTTAGATTCATATTTAGGTGCTTCTCTAAGAGACAACTACAATGTAAGGCTTTTTTGCCAAATTTGAAAATTTGTTGATTTGTAACAATAAGAAAAAACAGTGCAATATTTTCTTCTTTATGGGTAACTCTGAGCTCTTGTTAAATATGCATTGTGTGCACCAAAACTGTGACTTTTTGTTATGAATGCTGGCATTCATAATGTCAACTCTGATCTTGTTAATTATTGAAATGAGTTTTATCTTTTAATAAACATATGCTTCTTAACATGGTTGGCAGCTCTTTGATTCACTGACATGTAAGCAGGAAACAAACTAGAAATGAAGTACAGCTTGTCAAAAGTAAAGACCTAGTTCTCATAAGTGAAGAAAAGCATTATGTGAGCTGAACTGCTCCTTCTCCTTTGTGTGGGGAGGGTGAAGTTTATCTGAATGAGTCAAACTGTTGATACACCTGGTGGATAAATAGCTGCTTGGACTTGTTTCTAAGAAAGGGCAAACTCACAGGATTAGTTTTTTTTAATTTGCATTAAAATGGATTTGATCTACTTTCACAACTCAAACTTGGATCAAACTGGGGTCATGAGACCAACAGGTGTATAGATAAGTTCATTTGCAGATAACCAATAACAGGTCACAAGACTACATGCTAACTTGTAATTACAAGATGGTATGTCTGTCAGCTATTATGACTAAAGTGAACATGATGGCTCTGCTGCAGCATGAGACATGCATAATTACCAGAAATGATGATTACTCAGGGGAAAATTACTACATCCAGTGCACTGCCTAGCAACAGATGAACTTACACACATCAGAGAAAATGGCACAGACAAGTGGACTGCTATGTTACCTGCTCATACAAGGAGAATAATTCATGTAAATATGGCAAGAATCACAATAAAATGCTAAATATAATGCAAAGCCAAGTTATAATTTGACTTAAAAATCTGGACTTCAAAAAATATTTCCACATTAATAATAATTGTATCATCAATTGACAACACATAAAAACTGACAGGTGAAAGCAAAAATTCAAATATTGCTCAAGTGACATGTTCAGTGACAAGTTAACTACTTTCTCAATCAAGATAATGCACGATTGTGTGATCAGTTCTCAAAGATGAATTGTCAAGATGATGTTGACTCACATGCTAAAGCTACACTACAAAGAAAAAAACATGATTTCTGGTTGCAGACAGTAGTTTTAACATAGAATTAGAACTACGATTCAGTCAGACCTCAAGCCCTGGACAATATGTGAACTCTTATGAAGCCATACTTTGGTTTGAATGGTTTTGCCTTTGTAATACCTTTAACATAAGAAATACTCATTGTGGGTATTGGGAATTTCACAATTTGCTTTTCTTTAGACTAGAGAACAAAAGCAGCAACTTAATGTTGTAAGACTGGTTTGAAGGGTTTCCAGTTATGACAAGACTGGAAACGTATATTAAATCTTGCCACAATTCAAATTTGTGAAGTTAAGACTTCACAAATTTTAGTTTAATGTTGATGCATATAGAATAAATAAGTATATTTGTTGACCTTGTGTTTGGACATTTGGCTTTGTCTCTTCAAGTTAGTTTTTATGTTTGTGTGGTCTCACAAATTGACTCTAACCACAAGCAGCGATGGGATTGCTTAATGGCGTCTTAATGCTTGTTTTACAAATAATCAGACATGAAAAACTGCCATAATATATATATATTTAAAACACAAAGACAAATAGTCAGATATCTGTGTAAACCTTTTACATTTTTATTGCTTTTTATACACTGAGAAGGACGATTAATCAAAGAGTCCGAAGCCCATGTCTTCGTCTGACTCTTCAGATTCCTCTTTCTTCTCTTCTTTTTTCTCTTCCGCTGGAAAAGAAAGTAAAACCAGCAGTTCAATATAGGCAAAACTATACAGATGTCACTGAAAACACTCAAAAAACCTGAGTGTACCTTACATTTACAAACTATTTTATATGTAGCTTCATATTTAGTTGTGTACAAAGACATATACATACCAGCAGCAGGTGCAGCCCCAGTTCCAGCGGCCCCACTACCAGCAGCTGCCGCCGGTGCTGCTACAGCACCACCTGCTGGTACAGAGGCTAACTTGGAGAGGCCTAGAAATAGAAGGACGATATGTTAGGAAAACTTTCATCTGTGGCATAAACTGTAAAGTTATGTACCATATACTATAAGCCGCTACTTTTTTCCCACGCTTTGAGCTATGTGGCTTATAGCCCGGTCAGCTTTTCTGTAGATTTTTCTTCAACCACCACAGGGCTCTTTAGCAGGAAGTGAATCATTGGAAGTCCAATTTGGAAATCAAAGAATAAAGTGGTGACTTTAATTTAGAACAAGCACATGCTTGTTCTCGACAGAGAAATGTTTTCAAACTCATACACCCTCATCATGGAAACAACACATAGAAGTTCATATGCCACTTTTAAGTTGAAGGCCATCAATCTGGCAGTACAGTTCAATAGCCGCTGCACGTCCTTAATAGCAGATTTATTAAGGACGCAGTCCTCTGCTGCATCCTTGTGGAAAACTGAGAGCGGTGGAGGTACCAGCGGCTTATATATGTAGGTTCCATTTTTTTTTTTTTGGGGGGCGACTTATAGTGAGATGGGCTCTTTAGTCTGGAAAATATAATAAATTATATAGTCCTTACCTGAATTCATGACTTCGTTGATGTCTTTTCCATTCAGTTCACTAATTACCTGATAAATGAGTAAGATTTTTACTACATGGCATCTACAAACAGAACTTCACAATCATTATATTACATACTTTATTCAAGCGTTCATCATCGGCCTCAATTCCCACACTGCTCAGGATCTCCTTGATGTCTTTTGCGGAGGGCTTGGTGTTCCCACCGAGAACAGCGAGCAGGTAAGCGGCCACGTAACGCATTCTGGAAATAACATGGCAAATGAGTAAGCTGTGTCTAGTTATCCATAAAGCATGCAAGCTCAAACGTCACAAGAAATAATGTTTTAGAACTTGTGAGATTAATTTAAAATGAAACAAATCCCAACACATGTAAAACACTGTTGATTTGCAAGATTTTTGAAGAGGCAAATGTTATAACAGAATTAGAACATTTCACTTTTATACCAAAATAAAAATGAATCCCAACAACTTTATTGTGCTTGGCAAATCAGCAAGAAAGTTAAGTCACATTGGTGACATTTTCTACTTAATTAGCATTATGTTGGCAATTAGTCAGAAAACATAGTTATTTTATGCTCTAGTTATGCTAGCCTCTTTGTAGCTTCGTTTTGTACTTATTACAGTTAGTATTTTCCTAAACTGCTTCGTACATCTGAATAAACCACTTTATACCTACCAAGAATTAAGTATTTGGAGGTGCTAAAACTTTTAACCCATATACATGAGTAAGGTGTGCCATTAGTTGAAAAATTTTGTAATTATCTTTAAAATTTTATCCGATTTTACTCAGATTTTACTAATTGCTCAATTTCGTACCTAAAAAAGTCCAGGAAGCAACAACCTAACAAGCAGTTACGAAAAGGTAAAATGACCAGTGTCCTTTGTGTTGTTTAAAACCTTAATACAGTATAATTGGCACATTTAGGTTAAGGGAGAAAAATAAGTTTTCAGGGCTTAAAAGTGGAATTAAGCCTCTTAAAAATGCACACAGCGTCTAGTACAAATTTAATCATGATCATTTAAACACGAGGAAGGGGATTCCATTTCAGCGTTGCTAATTTTAGCTTTCGTTTTTGATGTACTCAAAATGTCACACATGACCAAATAAACGGTCACATTGTTGGATTTAGTTTTATACAGCCTAAGCCTAACCATCTACCTTATTTGTCAGAGTTAAACCGTGCCATTTATAGTATATATCACAGCTAGGACAGGTAGCAGCATGTGGCCATGTTTTCCAACTACCTTCTATTTCTAACTGCGTAGCAGGACACATAGACGCGTTCATCACGATTTAAGCACAGAATAGAAGTGTCTGCTTTATTAATATAGGATAATACAGAAGGTGGTCTACAAAACATGGTATAAAAGGTGTAAATCTCGACTTACTTTTAAGTCTAAATAGACACGAAACGTCGGTCACGCTAAGCAATCCGGAAGAGGGTGGGAGGTGGTCCCGGAAGTTGAAAAGGACTGGATATAGCATTCTCATTGGTTGGTTTGTGTGCCAGACAAATTACGTCAAAATGCACTAACCTTCGCTCCCTTCTTTGTTTACAAAATATAAAGTTTTAGGGGTATTTTTTGTTGTTCGAATAAAAAAATCTATTCTGATTACAGATTTATTTTAACTTTATTTTTTTTTAGTTTTTATGTAATTTAGGATTAAATATGTAAAACCATAGTAATCTCGCAAATATATCCAACCGTTTAATTTGTTTCATAAAATTTGATGCATATTAAAATAAAAACTAAAACAAAAAACAGCAACTTGTAATTTTTCTGGTGCAACTGTAGCACCAGTCTTTTACAGGGCATTCATTTAGTCAATTAAGACCTGTTTATTTTAAATATTGGATTTCTACGTGATCTAATCTTTTAAATTGTCCCGTTAAATTCTATTTTCAAGCATTACTTCATATTTTTAGCAATTTGCTGGTATCAGATTGTTTTGACAATCCAGAGAGAGGCCAGTGCACACAAGTCAGTTAAAGTCATACACAAATTTGCAAAATATTTGTTTTATTATGTAGCTGTCGGTCCTGAACTGTAGCTGTAGGTCCAGTGAAAACTGTTTACGTAACAGTTTTCATTGTTACATAAATATCACATGAAATACAACAAGTGTAAAAGGATGGTGTGAACACCTTTATTCACATCCTATAATTCAACCAGCTCCTCCTGTCTCTCCTGAGTGAAGAGCCAGTCGATCAGAAACACGACTGAGTCTGACATAAACTCTGTTATCTTCTTCCCATTTGACACATACCAAATTTTATACAAACATTCAATTAGCAAAATCATCACAAAGATGATTAAAAAGACTAGGAAGATACGATCCATATAATAGTTTGCCTTTTCTCTGAAGGTCCATTGCTTCCATGGTTGCGCACGCTGACTTTCTCCATATTTACTGAAATGCAGCAAAGCTTGCTGTTCATCATCCAGGTCTTCCTCCGGAGCCTCCGGATCCTGGCTGCCGTTCGTTTCATCAGTGTTTGCCATTTTACAGTTCCAAATGTAAGCTACTGTCAGAAGCTTGAGGACATAAAGGAAAACAAGATGCCAGCGTTTCAATTCAAAACTGGAGAGAAAAAAACATCAGAAACTTTAATCTTATGAGTATGAAGTGTCCTACCTTGAAGAAGATTTATATTTTAGATTTGAGAAATATTGAAGAAGTACATCAGAAATTGAGACATTTATCTTCGTTGCTTCTCTTTTAGACCATGCTTCTGTTTCTTTAGTATTTGTTAGGCCATAGAAAACAGAAACAGCTGATGAAGCCAGTAATGCCGACTTGGTTATGTGGTATCTCTGTCACCAAGACAAGGGCTAAGGATTTAACCATGCTCAGCAGTTTGAAATCCCTTAGCAAGGAGGGGGGGCTGACAGATGGTAATATACGTATTAATGTGTTCATGACTAAGAGACAGACAGAAACAGAGAGGCACAGTGTTAACATTTTTCTTCCATTAGACTTCAAGAAAGTAAATATCTTTATAGAACAGAATTCTTTTTATTACTGTAAATGTTAGTATTTACCACACACACAATCTGAAAGACAAATTGCATGAAATTTCACAAGAAATTCACATATTTTATTTCAGGACACTTCTGTGGAAACTAGGCAGGAGTCAAACTGATGACAAAGCAGACCTACTCCAGAAGCTTTGGGTTTAGAGTTGGAATAAATCAGCTTAATGCTCTTTGGGTAATTGATTCAGATGGTCCAATGCTTTTCACCTCTCTGCAACATCTTTTAATATATGGCCCAGAGAAGCTGAATTAGCTGGACCAAACCCTGCATTATGTGGTAAAGGCTTGGCACTAAATTGCTTGTCTTTGTCATAGTTCTGTTCCATGGAAGTAGCCTGTTATTTTGCAGTCTTAGCAGGGTAATTTAATTCCTATGCATATTGAACAGTGATATAATAATAATTAAAAAAAAATTACACAGCATAACAACCACATTTAACCTCTAATGACAGTGCAAAATATTAGCCTTCAATATGTTTTTATTTTTTCTTGACAATAAAATCTTCTTTTGGTCATTTCTGAAGTTTTGACCCAGTTCCAATTTTTTAAAATTGTGACAAATAAAGTTAGACTGGAAAAGTCTTGTGACTCACATTAGGTGGTTGAAATGTTAATAGATTAACACTGACATGAAGACACCATGAAAACAAAGATATTCTTGACTCAAATGAAAGCAAAGAAAAAGTTGAGGAATTTGAAAAGAACATGTTTATTATACCCATTATTGCTTGAAATGAAAGTAAATGATTCACAGGGTTATGATTGCTTCAATAGTTCTGGTCATTTAGCAAACACAGACAAATTTAGTATTGGTTAATATGAGAAAAGACAATGAGGGATATCCTGACAGTATTCATAAAACAGGCAAGTCTGTGGAAGGAAAATGCAGTTGACATTTGAATACTTAATGTCTGCTAAAACATTTATGTTAAATTTGTCCATCACATCCCCAGCTAACCACGGGTCTGTTGCCCTTTTCTGCACTTAACCTCTAATAACAGTGGCTTTTGTCAACCTATTTATTCTTTTTACAACTTTGGCAAACATATGCTATTGATTTTTGGAAAATCTTCCACATAGAGGGGGTGCTAACATCAATGTTTGGGAGCAAGTAGTCCTAAAATGACTGTTTTTTTTTGTTTGTTTGTTTGTTTGTTTGTTTTAACTACTGCAATAGTATTTGTGCATATTATCTTACAACTTGGTTACCACAGTTGACTAATTCAAGCAGCATGTCATCAATTTTTTTTCAGTTATATCAAGGCAACCTAAATAGAAATATTATCTATCCAACATTTTAACTTTAAATTAAGAAGAGAAAAGGCAATGAATCAATATAATATAGGTTCCCATAAATAACTGTAATTAGAACTAACACACCCAGAAAAAAAAGCTATTTTAAATCTGAAGCACAGTTATATCATAGCATTCAGATTATAAGGAAAAAGGCATTAGGCGGAAAATGGCATACACATTTGATAATAGGAGGATGCTGTTTAACACAGAAGTCTCTCTATATGGCTTTTGTGGTACAGACAATAAAATCTGTATATTTTCTGTTCATATGCACCATTTATACGATGTTTTTCCTGATGTGCAAAAGCTTTCTAATAGCCTTATAGACTTGTTGTATTATATATTGCAGTCTTATTTTCTTGTGAATTGTCTTTTACAAAAAAGGATTTAATACATGGCTGCCTGGGTAAAAATTTGTGGCTAGCGATCTGGGACCATGTGTAGATTCTTTTCGGTTACTCCCATAGTCCAAAGTCATAACTGTCATGTTAACTGGACCCTAAGTTGTCCTCAGATGGATGTGTGTGCAAGGTTGATTTTTAATGTATGTCTTTGTGTTCAAGCTGTACCTTGCCTCTTGCCTTCTGATGACTGGAGGTCATCTTCCCCCCTCTCCCCCCAACCATCACCCTCGTGACCCTTGCAAGGATAAGTGGGGTAAGCAATAGATGGATGCAATTTAACACACATTTTTTACATTTAATGTAAAAAGTTTTTTTTTTTTTAAATCAACAGTTGCCTGCATATCTAAGTAGAACTCAAATAGTGTTTAACAGTTCCCAAGACCATGTATACTGAAATCACAAAAAAAAAAAAAAAAAAAAAAATATGTTAAAAAAACAGGATCAGTCACACTTTTTTTCATTTTTGAATATTTAGAGCATTTTTAGTCCCCCTGGGACTATGCATTATAAAATAAAATTCTTCCATATATGCTATAGGTTCACAGCTGTATTTTCACTCCCTTCTATTGCGCTAGTAGGGCATCGGGTGGCCACCATTGTGTTACATAACATGCAGCGGCGAATTATTTGGATCAGAGTAAGACGGAACCGTTTCATTCTGAATGCATAAACCATCGGGTTGAGTGCTGAGTTTACATGAGACATAAAAATTCCTACATACACAGCAAATTTGGGTATTTTATAGTCTGAGTAAAAAAAGTCGATGCAATTCATGATATGTATTGGCATCCAGCATATAATGAAAAGAAAAACCACCAAGACCAGCGACTTGGCCAGCTTCAGCTCCTTTCGGTAGTACTTTTCTCCATCACAAGTGGCCTCAGCACGGCGGTTGAGCTGCTGCCGGATCACTCTGAAGATCTCCCCATACAGAATGATCATCAAGACCAGTGGCACCACCACACAGACGAAGAAATTAAAGTACACCATGTAGTCCATCCGAATAACATTTTTAAACTCACAAACGATCTCTTTGGAGTTACTGAAGTTCCCATGGTGCAGGTTGTTCCAGCCAACCAATGGAACCAATCCACTGAGGATGGAGAGGATCCAACACATACAAACTGCCATGTATGCCCTCCCCTGGGTCACTATGTCGCCATACCTGGGCAGCACAATCAGAAGAGAAATGAGAGTTTTCTCCAATCACCTAAATGCACTCGCAGACAACTTTAATGGCATTTTCCTGAAGCAAGGCCAGTCGGTTATTTCTCAGAAGCATATTTTTAAGTGTCAGCCTTTGACTTCAGGATTCAGCTGATAGGCAAACATTAGTGTGGACACCTGCCAGCTACCTAAACAAACTGCCTTTGTCAATAATTTATGCAGACAATATTTTAATTTACTTAAAAGGTTTAATGTCCAGCCTTCTGATTTGTATAAAACTTGGCACTGATGTTACTGGACACTCAGTGGATTGACACACTCAGTGAGTATTCCTCTCTGTCTCTCTTTAACAAAAAAACAGAAAACATGTTTGAAAATGTTTTGTGACAGTAGAGAAAAATTATTGAATATTTACTTGTTTTTATTTAAAAGACATTTCAAATCAAGTAGTGAAAGTAAAAGTTTAGAAAACCACTGTAGAGCTGAAAAAAAAAGATTTTATTAATTTCCTGTTTTGTTCCATTAGTAATATTCAATTATTCATTTTGAAAGCGGTTTTGGTCTCTTACATCGCAACATGGATAATCTACCGTATCACTCTCTTTTTAATTGCATTCAATCTTAATGTGAAATGCAGGGAGAAAACAACATGTAAATTTGAAATGTAGATATGTGAAGTTAAAACTTTTTCTTACCTTGTGGGAATTTTTATGCGCAGATATCTGTCGACAGCTATGGCCAGGAGGGAGAGAATGGAGCTCTGAGTTAAGATCAGCACCAGGCTGGAGAGGATGAGGCAGGTGTAGAACTGCGTCCTGAATCCCAGACTGATGACAATGGCCAGAGGGATAACCAAACTTCCAACAGCGATGTCAGCCACAGCCAGAGATGCAATAAAGCTAAAGGTGGTGTCACGGAGAGCCTGGTTCACATACACCACAAGCACAATTAATACATTCCCTAGGACAGAGGCCACAGAAATGGCTATCTCAATGGAGATGTACGCAACATCCATATGCTCCCTTGGCTTGACACCTGCAGAGGACATCTTTTTTTATTGTTCAATACCTAACTTATCTTTGCTCAGATTGTAATAAAATGTGAATCAGTTCCTTTTCTCCTTTTTGTATTCTCCTTCAGCAAAAGCATCTTCCAGTAAACATGTAGTTCAGCTGAGACAGATGTAATATTAGCCTTGCCACATTTAGAGCCCATGAAGGCACACCGACTGTTCAGTCTTCGGCATCAAATTCAAAATCTCTGTAAGGAAGCCAGAGCTGGTACATCACCACTCTTCTCTACTCTCTCACTCCCTCCTATTCACTGACTACTCTGTATAAACGAGTCATAACATCAAGGGGAGGGACTTTGTTTTCTGCAGCACTCTGCAGCATTAGTTTTGCTTGCATTAAGTGGGTATGTGTGTGCCCTGTGTGTGTATGTGAGCATTACATTTTACTGTGGAAACAAGCTACATGATAACTGGAAGTGTACAGTTAGGCTGTGAGGATGGGCAATCATTAGCATTGATTTGGTCATATAATAAAGTTAATGTATCTTCATGAACTTCATCAATAGACTTCAATGTAGTCTGTGAAAGTGGTTTGATCTCCATTATGAAAGTTTTATAACTAGTCCGTAATTTTCTCAGAAAACAGTTTTTTGTGTGTTCATTGACACTTTCTCAGGGATCCTTTTATATAATTTGTAGGAATGTGTGGTTATTTGTAAATGTTGAGCAGTAAAGACGATATATTTTAATTTTACCATTTAAAAACTCTTATAAAGGTCTTTGATAAGAGTGTTGCCCTCTTTCCTTCTCCTTTTCTCTCTCTATCTCTCCATTCCTCTGCCTTTATCTCCATGGGGATATTGGAAGTGGAAGTCTATCCTTCTATTAATTAAAAATTTCCACTAATGTTGGAGAATTTAATGATGCAGATGACAGCAAACTCTGTAGAATGCTGAGACATTCAGAGGACACTAACATGGTCCTTTACTGAACTCTCACAAATCAGATTAGGGTTTCAAAATCACAAACAAGGTTTTAGGTATTCTACATTTAGTGTATATTAGTACATGTTTGACGAGTCTAATGACTTAAACTAGAGCAAATTAAAGATGCCCAAAGGTAGTGAAGAATAAGATGGGATCTCCTGTTTTTCTATTTCCCAAACTGGAAGCTACAGTTGGAAGCTAACTTCACTTTTGTTTAATGGTGTGTTACAGTATGCTGGGCTACAGTAAACTCTGCGAAAAGAACACATGTCAATGCATTTTATGAATGTTAGAATGATAGTGCAGCCATCCACAGACATCTGCTCCTAATTGTTTTGTTGATGACTGTTTTGTAACATGCAGCACAGTTATTATTTAGCATCTTATATTACCTTGAGAAATCATTTTAGAGAAAAATTCATAATGATAACTGATACTGAGAAATTTGATTAAAACACTAAAAACCTTTACAAATACCTTAACCATTACCAATAATCACAACCAATAATCACAACAGTGTGTTGAGTTGGGCTAACATGCACCATTATCTAGAAACTACAGTAATTAATTTTATTATTGGCTTGCAGGGAACATCTTGTACCTGTGCAAGATCAACAGCATGACAACGAAGCCTCTATTACCGGTTTTAATTAGCAAAGTTATTTTTAAAATTCTTTCCAAGCAACCTAGTGATGCATTTATTGGATCTTGTCACATTGCTGTCTCCGTTAGTCATAATCAGGATGTGAATCTAAGCACTTGGGCTGACTGATTCAAGTGTTTACATGAAAACAATTAATGAAAGGTATTAAAGAGCAGAGAAGGGAGGATTAGTAGAAATAATCACAGCCCATCTCTCTCTCTCGAATGTCAGATAATGCTCAAGAGGTACAATGCTTTGCAAAAGCCTATACACCTTGAACTTTTCTACATTTTGTCTTGATAGAACCACAAACTCGAATGTTTTGCACAGAAGTGTTCCAATTATTGTTATCGGACAATAAAGTATATTTCTATTCTATTCTATTCTATTCTATTCTATTCTATTCTATTCTATTCTATTCTATTCTAAGATTTTAGATGGTGGGCCAACACAAACACTAGGTAAGACAGAATTGTAAATTGGAGGGAAAAATTATTTTTAAGAGTTGATAGTTTGAATCACCTTCTATGTAAATACCTACTGCTTATCTTTTGCTGTGTTCCTATCAGATTTCCACATATAAAAGCATACATTATGGCCTGTGGTTCTTTGCAAAATTGTTCAACGTAGGGCATCCACCATGCTTAGGTTTTGTAATACTTGTTCACTAATATTCTCA